GCCCCTGGGCCCTGCTTGACTGACTGCAGCACTGTTCGAAAGTTCAGCTATTACAGATCACTACACCTCCATTAAAGTCCTACCTTACATACCTTTATAATAAGTAATATTAATCAAATCCTTAATCAAACACTTTATTTTTACATGAAAATTAATAAATTTCACTTAATAAATATACATAGATAAATAATTATTGGATATTTAACGTTTATATAAAATCAATTTAAGATGGAGCGCCTAAGTAATGATGGATTGATAAATAGCCAATGGGCTCAAAGATTAATAGGCAGTTAACCAATCCAAGACAAGATCCACCTCTTTCGTCCGTGGATTGGATCAGGTCAGTGACGACGACTGGAAGGACACCGCGGTGAATTGGAACATGGAGTTGGTAAGAAGTTCGGATGTAACATTAATTAAGTGTATATTCTCCTAATGACGATTATGTTTATGATTTTTTTACAGTGACGGTCCAAATATAAACGCTCAAATATCAGGGAACCATTTTGAACCATTCGCTACAAAGGTGAGTCGTGTGTTCGCCTTAGCTACAGTTACAGGTGTCGCTTAGCCAAAATGCTAATTGCAACACTAATAGCATTAGCAACGGAAGTTCGCTGCTTAGCATGCTGACGACTTAAACGTCATTTTAAAATGCTAAAGTCTTAGCGCAACGTTTACACTACTTAACACCAGCTAAAGTACTAGCAAATCTGTTCAAAATTACAAGAATTTATCTGATATTTGATATTTAAAAAAAACAAACAACGTTGTATAATTCTGAGTGAATCGGACGACGGAGCATATCAAACATTCAAAGTAACTTTGTCGTTTTTTACACTTTTGTCTTGTCTTCATTTGTGTCAGAAACTAGCTTTCTTTCTTATTAATGGCATAGAATGAAAATTGAAAGTCATTTTATTCTGGCTGTTCAGTCATTGGTGTTTTCTGTGGCAGGATGAGCCTCAAGAGTTCGGAGCTGTCAATAAATATCCAAGTGATTCAAGATCACCAAAGGCAACCTTGTAAATACTACATGAAGAGCTGATGCCCTGGGGCAAGTACGGTAGGAACACCCTGTGCTGTGGCACACACACACACACACACACACTCATATATCTCACCAAAGGCCTACAAGTTTAGTTAAATCAGCCAAAAAAGTTAATTTAGTTTCACTACTATACGTTTTGTATTTGCTCCCGTTATTTCAAATATCACAGGTATATGTTTATTGTTAATGGATGTGCAGTTTTATTGCTGACCAGTAGGGGCTTTGCTCATTGAATTTATGTGACGATCTGAAAACCTTACATTTTGTGCTGTGTTTATCTAAATGTTTGAATCAGCTGAGGTGTTGGTGAATAAGTGTCTTCATAGTCTCAGTAACAATAAGTGAAGGCGGTGCCTGGACAAGAACAGTCTGTGGTTGGGTTTGGTTCAGGCTCCGCCCTGGCTGTGATTGGCCAATGGGCCGGTTGTTAGTTCCTGTTGAAGTTTAATGTTGTCGTGAAGAACTTTCTGGTTCTTTTACATTTGCTTCAAATGCTCTAAAAAGGCTGCTTTAAAGGGGCAGTACAGACAATGTAGACGCCTGCCTGCCAGCACGCTTCACCTTTGACCTTTCCTGATGTTCATCTGGAGAAATGATTGTTTTAGTAGTTGGTTCTGTTTTTACACTTTTGTCAGTTTGTGAGTCATTTGACAGCAATTTGCAGCAAACCTTTTACAAAGATGGTCACGTCCCTCCTTCCTCCCCCCTCCCGTCCCTCCTTCCTCCCCCCTCCCGTCAGTGGGGATTTTGAACTTTATCTTCGACACAAATATCTATTATTAACAGATCAGTTGAAGCGAAATCACAAATTCATCATTAGCTATTTTTGTTTAGCGCTGCAAGTGTGGATCTCCCACTCCCACTCTAATCCCTCACCTTCCCTCTGTGTCCCCCCCCCCCCCCCCCTACCCCCCTCTGTCCCTCTCTGTGGACATTGTACTGTACATAAGAGCCCAATTAGCATCGTCCCACCTCAGACGTCATGGCAGTCTGGGTTCTAAGGTCAGAGGTAGACGGCCGTGTTCCTAGACGTGGACTGAGCGCTGCACTCATTACCAGGCTGTCAGCTCGGCCTTGATGTCATTTCCCTCACATCATTAGAGATGCTGTAGGTCCTGAGGCTAAACTGTGTGTGTGTGTGAGTGAGAGAAAGTCCACACACACACACACACTTACACAGAGAGAATACACTGCCATTAATATGCAGCCGCTGACATCACCGTATCGATCTGTCTGTTAGCACACTGTACCACCTGATGAAATCATCCCTGATAGAGAGCGACACACTCTAAGAAGGTCACTGACACTGTGGGAAATTTTGGGGAGGTGTGCACATAAACAGTTAAATCACTTCTCTGCTCATCACGCCGTTCTCTGGACCTCTGTGTTGGGAAGCCATAAAGTAAAGAAGAAGAAGAAAAAAAAAAGAAGCAAAAACAAGGCCTTTAACTGTCTGCTGTTGGTTCTCAGGTTGAGACGTCCATCGTTCAGGTGTCACAGACGAGAGCGGGGCAATAAATCAGATAAGAGTCGCGCTCTAATTCATGGACAAAGACGGAGGTAGAAATGATTTATTATGTACCTGCTGATGGGGAGTTTTTTTTTTCTTCTCTTCTTATTCTGGTTGAAGGAAACACAACAAGCAGAGATAAATCATCGACTAAACCAGTCATGTTTTTTTTTTTTTTTTTTAAGATCCACATCCACGCCACGACTACATTATTTAGTTTCTTTGCAGTAAATCATTTCTTACTATTTTTTAATATCCTTATTTATGGTTAAACTGTAAGAAGGTTTTCAGGATGTGGGGCGTGATTTTAAAAGTGTCAAATACATTTTAAATGATGTGTCGTCAAAAACAACAAGTTGACAATTTAGTTTGTAAAATACCCAGCTAAACAGTAACCAAAAATGTCTGACGAAATGCACAAAAAAATCCTGAAATTTAAAAAAAGTTGAGCTCTAAATTAGCCTTCCGAGTGTCCTTTTTTTTTTTTTTTTATTAACCGCAAAACAAATCCATTTTGTCTGACTTGTAATTGGACGTCTTGTTCC